GTTAGTCCAGGATGGTGCCGGGAAGAACCGGGAAGGTCCCCCTGGATTCCACTTTGGACACTAAGGAATGTCAACAAAAATGCACTGGAAAAATTTCAGGACAAAAAGGAGAGTTTGCTCCAAATGGGAAATACAGCCTTTGTTAAAAAACACAAGTGTCATCTGAAGGAAAAGGGCTGGTTTACATTAAGCAAGTTCCTGCCCAGGTTCCTACTCTAATTCACTGTACAGACGAAGACTACAAGTATGCAGGAAAAGCTTAGTTCTGATTGGTTGTTATTTAAATCTGATAGCAGGTCTCAGCTCAATAATCAAGGCTGGGAGGCAAAAATAGAGCTTTTTGGAGACTATGTTGGCAGTTGAAACAGGAACACGCTGGAGCAAGGGCCACCAAGTTCAGTTTGTGGTTTTTCCAGGAACACAGTATATGTGTGAGCCCCCAGTCACCAAAGGGCTACCAGATTCCACTTTGGATTTAAGTCCAGTAAGCTACTTGCCCCACTTCATAGAGATTCATTTTATTAGTTTCCACTAGTTGGATCAGGCTATAGGAAATGAAGATATTCATATTCTGCCATCAGATTACAAACTGGTACAACTTTTTTGGATGTTAATTTGGTAATATTTTAAAGCTCAAAAATGTGCAAATCTTACCCAGTGATTTTATCTCCTGGGTTTGAAAATGGAATGACTAGGATAGTGGTTTTCAAACTTTTTGTGCACTGTAATCACATTAAAGCCTTATTAAATCAGATTTGGGGGGTTTGTTTTCAAATATTCTGATCCAGGACCCCATTTGGAGCACCACTGCAATAGGATAAGTTTACTGCAAGAAGCAGGTTGCCTTTTTTCTTTCTTTGGTGATGACAGGGACTCATATGGACTGATAAGAATAGGGCAGGCCAGGGCACAGTGTGGGCAAAATAAAGCCAAGTGGACTTTGGTAACGTTGATCATGAGGTGAACTGCCTATGACCTATTCTCATGCCCCTACAAATACTTCTCATTGTTTCTGGTCATCTGCGTTTACCATGGACCTCTTTTCAAGTCTAGGAAGTTATCTTTACATTGTCTAAAGCCTGCTATGTTAGGAACCTTCCCCATATTAGTTTTCTTTGACAGTATTCACTTTATTTCTGTGAGTGTTCACCAGCTTGCTCTCTCTGGTTTTGTTACTTCACTGATTTCCCACACTCCTATGTTAGCATTAGGACTGGTATAAATAAGAGAAAAACCTAAACAGTTTAAATAAGATGGAAGTATATTTCTCTGACATATTAACAAACTAGAGATAAACAGTCAAGGGGCAGAGTGAAGGCTGTAACATCACCAGGGACCTAAGCGCCTTCCCTCTCATTATTCAGCTGTCTGACTTTCATTTTCAAGGTCATTTTGTGCTTCAGTATGAATGCCAGAATGCCAGTTATTTTAGTCTTCCTTATGCTTGCATCCTGCTTGGCAAGAATGACATGATATAAGGCTTTTCTTTTCCCTTATAAACACTTGCCCAGAACTCACAGTTATCTCGAAGTAAAAAAAAAGTTTAGATAACAAGGTGACACTTTTTCTAAGTTATACACATCATTTTCTACTGATATGTGACCTACTAGCCATAGTCATATGGCTATACCTAACCCCACGAGAAGCTGGAAACAATGGCCTTTATTTTGAGTAATTGTGTACTTAACTAAAATTCAAAGAATTACTGAAGAAAGGTAAAATAGATATTTGGAAACAACTATAAATTTCTGTCACAGTCCCCTATAGCCTCTTGTGTGTACAGCAGGCAGTGATTACAAAATATACAGCAGATCACATTACGACCTTTCGTAAAATCTTTCAGTAGAGTCCCACTACATGTAACAAAATCTACTCTCCTAGCTGTGGCTTCTGAGGCCCTATGGGATCTGGCATTTGATCACTTCTCTCACTCCTGATTGCTACTGAGGACTACAAAGACTTTCTTCTCATTACTTGAGCACAACAAGCTAATCCTTGCCTTAGGGACTAAGCCAGTGATGGCGAATCTTCTAGAGAACATGTGGCCAGACTGCAACCCCAAACCTGCTTTGTACTGCAAAGTGCCAACCCTGCAATTAAACCTAAATACTGAGGTTTTAGTTTAGAAAAAACCAATTTATCCACTGCTCCGCTGCTGGAGAAACTTGGCTAGAGTGCTGACAGAGTGCTGGGGTAACTTGGCTTGACTCTGTGTGCCTGCTGTGGAGCCTGTGCCATAGGTTCGCCACCACTGGACTAAGGCATACCTTCTGCCTGAAATCTGTCTCTGCATAGCTGATTCCTTTGTATCATTCAGGACCTGTAGGCTTTCCAGATCTAAAGCAGCTCTACATTTTCTCTACTCCTTCGTTTTCTTCGTTGCTTATACTGCTTGGTATTTTGGGTCCAGATTCACTGACATGTCCCCACTGCCTGGCCCATGCAGCACTCCATACAGATTATATGGATTCCTGAAGTCATCAAGTGTGATCCTAAGTGCACAGCTCACGGACAGCGCTATACTCACTGACAAGCACACACCTCGGTGTAACAGAAGCCAGATATATGACCCAGCTTTTTATCTGAGCATAGGACAGGGAATGGGAAAAAACCAGGTATTTTTCCCTTGCTTTTCTTCAGACACCCAACATCTACTATTATTTTCCTCAAGCTGGCTCAATTTACTTTTGTTAGTAATTACACCCATCTTCTTTCTAACCCTTCCTGTTGTAAGCTTCTAAATGTTTCACATAAGATTTGTTAAATCTAATACAAGAGGTCAGAATGTGCCAACCCTAACTCCCTAAACATTACTGTTTTCTGTAGTAGCAGAATGGAATATAGTTGGAGCCAATCTGCTACGTGACATAGCGGTGACATGGTCTTTTTTATAAACTATGTTCCAAAGGATGAAAAAGTACCTCAAATTAATCGAATTCAATCTTCTTAGTTGAGAAAGAAGATGCACGGTGCCTTACGAACACTCCAGCCTACACATGCTAATCTCACTGACAGTCACTTTTCTAGGAAGGAAAAACTGCAGCAGAGTGCTGCTTTTTATTGCCTGCAGAATGTGAGAAACTCTTTGTTAGTCAAAATGCTCTGAGATGGTAGTTTGTATGCTTTATTTTGATTAAGGGAGTCCTCCTCTGACATCCACAACTGTCATCAAATTTTAACAAGATTGGATGATACCTAAAAAAGTACTTGGTATCTTCTAGGGCTGTATTAAAACCAACACATTTTAATGTCCTTTGAATTAGAAAAAAGATGGAACATTTAAGTTAGAGTACTGTAATCTATAATTTTGTAAGCAATATATCAAACTTTGAAAAGCGTCACGTCACTCAGATGTTTGAGGTTACTGGCAGAGCAAGGCCCTCCACCAATCACAGCAACCTTACTCTCTTCTATTGTTTTTGTTTTAAATACTGCCTCAAAGAGTACCTTTGAAAGAGTCCTATTAAAGGAAGTTTGCAGACCTTCTAGAGAAGATCACATTGTAGGACTTTCCTTTCCAACTCAGATTATAATATAACCAGGATCTCAAAATACCTCCTGGATGCATATTTTGTAACATCAATAATTAAGTTATTCTGCAAGAATATGAATATAAAAAAATGATAGGAGTTTGTGCTGAATTGGCTGGGGGTACTGATGCAGAACAGAACTTGGACTGTTGTTTCAAAATTTTAGATGTGAACTTTACTTAATAGTGCTTCACTGCCCCTTCTTACTCCAAAAAGGACTGAAAGTCAATGTGACTCAAATTTGATTTGTAAGACACACATTTTTTCCTAAAATAACAGTTTGGCTTCAAAATATAAACTGGCTTTGAGGATTTACCATTAATAGTGTTACAACAGCTTTGCCACCCCTCAGCTTTCGGTAGGTAGTATCTGCAATTATGCAAAAAGTTAATTTTTAATAAGGTTGTATTAAAAACTTTATTATGCATAGCTGTTTAGTACTATATTTCTATATAGTTCATGTTCTTGGATGAGGGTGAAGACTAAAGAATAGAAAATAATACAGTCTCAGACAAGACAAAATGTAGTGCTCAGGGTTATTTATGCTTTATTACATCACAAATTTAACCAGTCTATATAGCTTTAAATATTGTTGAGTCTCACAGGATCCTCCTGTAGTACGTGTGTAGTATAAGGATAAAAAAGTAATTTTATAATCCTAATCTAATATTTCCAAAGGATCAGGATGCTTGGCCATCCTAGAAGGTTAACACAAATTTTGTAAGACCCAGAATAGCAATAAACAGTTAAAAGAGAGATATTTAGTACCATACAAAAGAGGGTTTTAAAAACCTAATAGGAGTTATCCTATTCTAAATGCTGAAAGTAAAATAAAAAGAATTAATGGAATTTTAAAAACTAACTTCATAGATTCGTTTTGGCTATTTTAGTACAAACTGCCTGTAATAGTCCAAACAAGGCTTCCCATCGGTAGTTCCATAATTATGCAAGTGTTAAGTAGTTGCTTTGGATAAGAACCTCTGATACCGAAGCAACTCACTTTATAGGATATTTGAGGGATAGTTTTTCATGCCTTGGAATACATAACGTATAATAGCACTGGGGACCAATATGAAAGTTAATTTTTAAAAATTAAAATTGTTTAGGTAATACTGCCCTGCATTTAGCTAAAAAAAAAAAAAATCAAGCGAAACAAGGTGTGTGGCAAAACCCAAGTCCTCTCTTCACTCTGGTCTTTAATCCCATAGGAAAAAGAAAAAGCAAATTTCTTTAATCTTTTAGACCAATTTCTAGCACTTACAAACACATACCACAGAAAACTTAAAAATAACTTGCTTTCTCTGTAGTCAACCCTACAACCATTTATCTTGAGCTTTAAAACACTCCAGTATGTAAAAATAGTGCAGGCTGAGTAATATTAAAAAAAGAAGAGCCAAACACTACGTCTCCTGTAGCTCTGCCTTCACCACAGAAGCCCTTCCTGAAAGGTGCGACAATTCAGTGCCGCACAGCGGCCAGAGAGGGCAGTGTGTACCGACGCATAGGAGAGACAGAGGCGCGTCTCCCCCAGCAGCGGAGCAGCTACTGAGGCTCTCTCAGTCTTGCCAAGTTGTGCAGGTAAAGCTGGGGAACTGATTCCGATTTCTTCGAGGGGGTACTCTCCAGTGGACTGCCATTATGATGTTGTTAATGCTAGCATGGTGCATGCACAACCTGAACACAAGAAAATGTGGCAGAGTAGCACCATCAGAAATCCTACTGTCCATGGGATTTGTTATAAAAGAGTAAGACAAAATCTTAATGTTCAAAGAGTGACTAAGAAGTTACACAGAGCTACCGAATTTCAGAGCTGTTCTCGTAATACAGTAAAGGAACCATGAAGGATTTATGCACTACTTGAAATGCTCACCAGGTAAAGTCCTGTTAGCTTAGTACATGCTGAATATAAACATACGTTTTAAATGGCTAAAGTGATCAATGAAAAATTTAAGCCTATGTGACCAACTGAAACGTAAATTTGTCCAAAATGTAATTTGTCCAGGTAAAATTAAGCTTCATTTTTTTAACAAATAAAACAGATTTCAAAAGTGTTAATGTAGGGTAAGAAAAACACCGACATTTGTCACTGAACGAATACCAAGATACAGCGATAAGCTACACAAGCCAACGTTAATGCGAAGCTTTAACGTCCTCCTCAGTATGAAAAGAGGGTATCTTCTAACATAGCAAGTATTCAGACAGGCGATTTCCATAGAAATAAGCTAGAAGAAAAAGGAAGTCCTTCACTGGGCGGTGGTGCGTCTTTCCCCGAGAATAAAAGGATTTATTCAATTCGAGTTTCAGAAGCAACTTTGTACCCTAATCTAAACAACCTATATATTGCAATTTTCCTCCAAAGAACACCTCCCTGAAATGCAAACCGACCAGCGCGTTTCAGCGCTTCGTGCACCGGCAAGCCGACTCCTGCGTTCCGCGTAACACTCCGGGATCCTCGCGGGCGGCCGGGCGCGGGGTCCCCGGGAGGGCGCAGGGGCCGCCGGCCGGGTCCGCGAGCCCGGAGCCCGCAGTGGTGCCGCAGCCTGTGCGGCCGCAGCAGGTGGGACCGGACCCGGCCGGCTGCGGCGCCTGGGGCTCCTCGATCCGCTCCGCGACGTCTGGGCCGGGGCTTTCGGGGATTGCGTGGAATCACTTTTTACTATTACGTTTGGAGAAGCCTGGGCCTTCGCTGCACTGACCCGAGCCCACAACTTTGCAAAGCCGAGCGCGGAATCCCCCGGGGAAGCGCGAGGGCAGCGGCCGCAGGGCCGCCCAGGGTCCCCGCGGTCCCCGGCTGCGCCCCCT